TTAAACCCTATGGAAAAAAGGATTTTCTTCAAACTCCGGTTATCTTTCTGGTTGATCAACAAACTCTTCAGTAATTTAGAATGACAAAGAAAGTAAATAAAAACTGCTAAAACACAATAGTAAATCATGAATTGAAAAGCATTTAAAATTAGTTTTCCGCGGGAGTACATATCAGGTAAAGCACTTCTGAGAACTTTAGAGTTTCAGACGACGCCTCAGAGCCATGATCCTGTAGAAGGTCAGGCCTAGGGCAATCAGCTATCTTGAAAATTACATTAACACTTGACTATCAAATAGTATCCTAGTGCTTCATTTTCCTGTTTCTGTCATATTGTGGTACAGGATGATCACTACGCAGCAAAATATGCTGGGTATCTTTTTTCATATTTCAATTTATTGACCCTACAGGTTATAGCTTCTCACTAAAATCAGAATCTTTAACAGAAATCTACTCTGAAATGAACCAATTTTCACAAGCCACCAATTAGATTACCATCTTTTGGTTATTAATAGCTTGCTTCGAGATGTATGTCTCGAAATACTTCAAATTAAAATATTAATACATTAAAATAGCAGTAAACCTTGAGTATATTACAGACAGATCTGCTAACATTCGGTTATGAAGTCATAAATATGAAAATAGAAAGCTCTGATAAGAAAGAATTATCCAAGACAAAGACGACAGAAAGTGAGATGTAAAGAGAAACTACGAGCAGAAGATCTGCTGACTGAACAGCATGTTCACAGAAATCAGGACCTGGTAAAAAAAAAACACTACGCAGACAAAAGGATCATAAAGGAAAAGATGAATGAGTAGTCGTTTAATTTCAGTCTGTTTCTTAGATGTGTTGCACAGTGAAACAGTACTATTTATTGCATAACATCCATATTCACACTACACCTGACATGAGTATGGAAAATAAAAACTGCCCGAAATGTTATTCAGTAAATAACACTGTTTCCTTGTGTAACACATCTAATAAACAAACTGAAATGGAATTACAATCAACCACTGTGACCAAGTTTTACTCCAACGGCTTTTGAATGTTGAGTAGACAAGAGAATTAATAAACAGGCAGATCTCAAATGGTGTAAAAGCTTCTTGGACTACACTGAAAAGCATGGGTTATCGAACTAGTCAAGATAAGATAAAGTTCTGATCTCAGTAGATTTACTAAATATATTACACAGTAAAAGAGTGTTATTTACTAGACAACGCTTCAGAAACAATTTTTCATCACACCAAGGGAACTTGACATCCTTAAAACATTATTGTTATTATTATTTGTCTCTTGGGTTCCTAATGGAACATAGGGCTTCAGTAGCACGTCTCCAGTGCACTCTCTTCCCTGTCCCGACGACAGCCCACAAGCTCTCATTTCCTCCTCACACAATCTCCTCCATGTCACCCTCACGTCGAACGCCCAACTGGTCGTTTTCCATCGGGGTTCCACTCGAGTGCCTGGCCTGGCCTGATGTCCCCAGTCAGCCTTCTCAATGAATGCCCAATCCATCTCCAATTTCTTCGGCATAGTTGTGGGGCGATGGGTTCTTGGTTGGCTCGTCAACAAGCCAGAGTTCCTTGTTGCTTATTCTTTCTGGCCATCTGATCTTCAGTAACGAGTGTAGGCATAAGTAGATGATTGTTATATAGTGGAAAAAAGTGGCTTACAATTAATAATCTCTAATAACAACAGGTGTCACATTTTCTAATTATCATCACTATCGTTACAGTCACTATCGCTAATGCTTGAGCTCTATGTCGTATTTTCTGTATACACCCACATAAAATCCAAACACATTGACACTTTAAATGATTCCGAAATTCCTCTCCTTTTTAAAATAGTGTGCACTGCAATAAGGTGAGCAAAAACTAAACTGAACATGAAGGTGGTATTCATCGCGGACTGATATCAGTTGGAGAAAAACTAATGACATGAAAATACTGAGAAGCTGTTTCGTCGTATTGTATGACTCCTTCGCAGTGCACACCCATGACACCATCAGCGGTTGAAACCAAGACTTTCAGTTTTAGCGACGAGCAAGTTATCACCCAGCCCTTTGCTCAGAATACAATGGTCCACATTTCACCACTTCTGTCAATTCATGATATGACGGAACCTTCATCCACTGCTATCGTTGAGTGTTTGTCTTCATGTATCACTTAGTTTACCCCACAGGTCACGACTGCTCACTAGATTGTCGAGAAATCTCATCTCGAAGTATATCACTGATGAGCACTGGATAGTAATTCAGTTTGAAGGTTTGTGGAGAATTATTGATTTCAAAGAGAATATTAACCATTAGATTCCATTCCAGTAACTCAATGGTTGAGTGCTCCCTACAAAGCCTGAAAGTTCTGGATTACATCCATAGTCCAGTCATGAGTGGGCGGTGCTGATGAGTCCAACACTAGGACGAAACAGTTGTTCAAAGCTCCCAGGATTTCAATGATTCTCTGACTGATGTTAGACCTTGATGTATATCACTTTGAAATCAATAAATCTCCACAAACCTCCAAACTAGAACACAAATGACATTATGAAACTACACCCCTTTAAATTGAAAGAAGACTATGCAGTTATTCCATTATAGTTTAATACTGTCCCGAGTTCAGAATGAAGGAAGACAAGTGTTCACCTACGTCGTAAAAGAATAGTACTGCATCATAAAGTTTTTAAAGTCAAGAAGTATCAATTACCATTTGGTAATTCAGTGCTAAATGCTGGCTGGTATCTAACTGCATCGACATATCTATTACAAATGCTTCATGATCTTTAGTTATTTAGTATCTGCTGAAGGCTTCAATAAGGAAACCAATTGATCAACCTACAACTTATTGAACAGAAAATTGTTAATATCCCCCTAATATAATAATTACAACTTGGTTAACTGGAGACGCTTTAGTTGCTTGTGTTGTAATTGATTTCAAAAAAAGAATTCTTTTATAAAACACAGTGTGACTGCAAATGAAAACAGCATATTTCATGATTTGAAGTATGCTGATTGTTTAGCTACATAAAAATTTCTTATTTTTAGCTAAAAACAATTAAGTTCGAAATATTGCTATATTCAGTTAAGCTATGTTGATAGATATGGATAGGTAACACCACCAGAGAACTTGGCATAACGAACCACATCGAAAAACTTCACACCAATCAGTGAAAATAAAAGTCATTATGATGAAAGACGATAGTTGTCAAACAAGCTTGAAATCCGGTTGGGGTCCGAATTTTCATTTCACCCTCAATCATCTCTCAATATCAGTGCTAGTCTTCCAAACCATGACTATCTTAGATAGTCAAAAAAGACAACGATTAGTTTAGAATCCGATAATAACCAGTACTTCGAACTCGAATCGAACGTCGTTCGCACATCAAAATATGCACGACCATAACAATAATAACATACTTTCACAGAAATAAGCGAGGGGTCAATAAAAGGTTCTGCAAGCCGAGTTATACAAGAATACTATAAGTTTTATGTAAATTGTCTTTTAATATCAAAACAAAACACTCGATGATCCATATTCAACATAAAATTAGTAGAATGACGTAAAAGCACTGATTCACGAGTGAAATAGAACAAAATGGTGCAGAGTATACAGACTTCCTTATTTATGTCCCGCTTAAATTACCTATAAAGTGATTAGATTCAACTTACGCGTTATTGAAAGCACCCAGTCTCAGTATCTTAGCTGGAGTCACAACAAATGCCTGATTTAAATGCACTATTTATCAGCCTGATTTATTTTCCCAAAAAAAACCTAAATAGCACACATCACCATGATTCACTTGACCTAAATAATAAAAAAATGTCCGAAACGACCATCAGGTGTCTAGATTACTTCCATCTGGCTGGCGAAATCTACAGACCAACCTGAGTAGCTTTTAATTACTCACATTATTTAGTAGTAGTATCTTTTACTACTTCATGACACTACAGTTGAGCAGTCAAAAAATCACCAAGCTGTGAGAAATTTCAACTTGGATTATACAATTTGTAAATCATTTGTAAACTGATCATCCTATTTGAGGTATACCAATCCATCCAAGTAAGCTAGCCAGATTAAAGTGATCTGAACCATTCAGTTCTGTGGGCTGGATTTGTTCGGGTGCACCTCTGACAAGCTTGGCTGCAAATGAACGAAGAAACATCCCGTGATTTAGACCACTCTGATCTGCCTATGGAATGTTACCGATTAACCTGAGTAGTTTCAAAATGCTCAATTTGTTCAGCAGTAGTATCTCACAGGTCTAGGCGAATGACTCTACGTCGATAGGTTTTGAAACTCTTGTAAAACTGTTAGAAATAGTAGTGTAAACATTATTTGTGAAACAAGAATTGGATTTCAAAATTTATTAAAGAACTAAACATAAAAAGAACAGTATGTTCTTTTAGTACATCTGAAATAAATTAATGTCTCGCTGTCAGGTGAGTCAATTTCAAATTATTCAGTGTAAGGTGTATGAGTGACTCGAAAGGGTACCTTACCAACCGCTAGAATAATCAATTATTTCTATATTTTGGCTGAAGGGTATTATTATTATTATTATTATTATTATTATTATTATTATTATTATTTGTCCCTTGGGTTCCTAATGGAACATAGGGCTTCAGTAGCACGTCTCCAGACATTTAATTGGTCGATTTCAGGTTGATATTCATCATGAACTGACATCAGCTGGAGAAACACTGGAAACCTAGGGGTACCGGATAGCTGTTTCGCTATAGTATGGGACTTTTCAGCGGTGTGAACCCATGAACTTGCTAGGGGTTGAACCCAAGACCTCCAGCCTCCGTGGTCAGCACGTTATCGTTGAGCCATTGGGTCAGGCTTCAATCTATCAGTTCACGATATAGCGCGACTTCCATCCAATGACGTCAAGTTATTCAGGCATTAAAATGTTAGCTCATGTCCCAACACACCAATACACGGCTAAATAGTTGAGAAATTGAAAGAAACACAGCTTCATTCGAATCAATTACGAAGATATCATTGCAAAATGGAAGAAAAGATATCAAATTCTCCATGAATCCAAAACTTTTATTCACAATTGGTGTATTTATACATATCTACAGACATAAAATATTTGAAGAGATTGATACTGGTGACAAAGTTATGTTTCAAAGTGAAAGAAATTGTAATTTCTGTACGAAAATTATAACATATGACCTTCAAGCGCGCCAACTGAAAAAATTAAAAAAGAAAGATAGTATGTAGAGGAAGGGTAAATTGCAAAGATAAACATCAAAAAATTTTGTTCAAATCAATGAAATCTTGAATGTTTCATTGTAAAAGCTATGAAACCGTAATCAATCATTCAATCTCCCCTTTTGATTTTTAAAAAGCCTCTTTTCGTGAATTCACAATAAAAGTAGAGATTTATAGCCGGGAATATTTTAGCAATGTATTGATTTATAGAAGAAGGGAAAGAGTGCAACGCAGTAACTATCTGAACTTTCAAGCCTGTAGACAGTGAATTATATCAATTGTGAAAGAAACTGATGGTACATGTTTGTCCAGATCTTGTTAGGTGGAAACATGTTTCGAATCCATAACCGACTCCTTGAACGTCGAGTGTTTGGACCGTGTAAGTTACAACTGCACAATATACTTATTGATTATATTACTTATGAGTAACTGATGTTTCTAAGCATATTTCATTTTAGGCGAGTTCACAGTAATCCTACTAGTTAGAACAATGAGTTAGAGTTCGAACATATTCAGTTTGTTATTTTCCACCTTTGCTGACGATATTTTCGATTAAGTCAAACCATTAGGTGTACAGTTAGATTGTAAGGTTATACCTCATCATATTTGTTTAAATTTGTGGATGGGTATGGGGATAGGATTATTGGTAGATAATTAAAGATTATTTACATCTCTTTAAATTACACTGTTCGAATTAAGCTAAGATAGTCTCCTAAGACGATCGCAGCAAAATCCGTCATTTTAAAGGCAAAACCGAAAATGCTCTAATACTTGTGATAAAACCAAGAACGTCAATAGGAGAATCATTCCCTTACAGTATAACAACTGAGTACAATTATCAAGACAAATTACGGTTAGTCAAAACATTCAAGATTTGGAAGAAGTCAAAGAGTGATGGAATACATCTGCGCCATTGTGACCGATTTCCAACCATTCTGCTAAAGGCCTCCAACTACTGATTCCTATCATTTCAAGGACCTCAATGAGGCAGTCTACACCTCCCCATATTGCAAAGATAAAGAGTCAGCAAACTTTACGGACTGGTGCCACATCTTAGCCTGGTGTCTTACCATAAAAACAGTCAAATCGTATGAAAGAAATTTATTTGTCAATAGTCAAGCTATGACTACGCACTTGATTGGCAACTAGTGAGTCATGCATTAGAAGGCCGTCCCACCTAATGAGATCCGGTCGTCAGGTAATATTAGCAGCATCCACACAATATGTATGACTCTGTCCTGATGTGCACATAGCTGTTGTGCTTCATTTCCTTTTCAACATATCTTGAGAAGTTTTTTGAAGCAAAAACAATAGCAAACTATGACAAAAAGAAATTAAAATAGTCTAAGGACTTCACAACTATTTCAGGAATGTTAACAAGTTGAATTACAGAAAATTACTGGAATATCGGATAATGCTTCAATTTAACCAGAGTAGGAGATTGAATGAAGTTGATTTGAGTTAGTAACAGAATTCTGTCCTAAACAAGAGGGAGATAACAACCCTTGAATTCTACACGAGCTGGTCACCTTCAAAAAGTTGTGATTCACCAGTTGAGTGACTTTAAAGGTCACCCTGGCAACTGCTGACATAACCAATCAGGTTTCGATATTTCAGCTGAGAAGTTAATTTTTCACAAAATAAAGAAACGTAATTGGCTACCTCACCAGTTGTTAGAATCACTCCACTGGTGGAGCACCTACTACCATCAATTCACTTTGACCAATGGCCTTGAAATAACAATTTAATATGTAGTTCTGGAGCATACTTAAAGGCCCCCATGGAAACTGGGGAGATAACCAATTACATTTCTTTATTTTAGGAATGATTAACTTTCCAGCCGAAATACCGAAAGCTTGTTGGTCATTTCAGCAGGTCCTAGCATGGCCTTTAAAATCCCTTGTAGTTCTCTCTTATGAAGGGAAATCACCTCCGATCGCACAAAATACAATTATGAAAGATAGAAAGTTTACAAGAGCTTGTTTACCACTTAACCTTACTAAATCCACCTAGGCTTTAAAATTCTTTTAAAGTGACTAATAACATTGCCAAGATCTTTATAAGAGACCCTAAATCTTTGAAGCCAAAACAGTCAATCGTGTGGCTTCGAAATTTCAAGAAAAAGCACGTGAACTTACGTGTAAATATCCGATTGGTTGAAGGGGCAAAATGAATAGGATAAGCTAATCTAGAAGTGACTAGAAATGGTCAAGATAATTGTAAATGTATCTAAAGCGTTGTGTTCCGCATATATTTATGGCGCTGCATTACGCGTTTTTTTTATAAATATTTTACTGCCTTTTCTATTTACCGAGGAAATAAGTGATCGTCGAGGGTGGAATCTGACGGTTATTGTTTAAGTGTCTCATATAAATTACAACCAGGTTCTATCAAATCATCTATTGGGCAACTATAATAAAGCAATTCACGAAACAATAATCTAGAATTCAACTTTCTGAGAACGTCCATAACTGACTGTTTCAACCATCAACAAATGTATTTCCCGAAAGAAAGAAATTCAAAAGAGTTTAACGACTGGTATCAATTGAAAATCTATATGCATTTATAAAATTATTCAGTATGACTATCTAGGAAGTGTTTTTAGGGATGCGAAAACCAGACAACTTGATTCACCTTCCTACAAACAGTTTAAAACAATCTAAAACAGTGAATTTAAACGATCAAAATATTAGTATACTTAGACTGAGATTTTCAGGTATAATTCATCTCATATATAAAGAATATTTGATTGACACAAAGGCTTCAGAAATTCTTGTCTATCCAGCTTTGAAACCAAATGAATTTCATAGTTGAGTAAGCAATAAGAATACCTTCAACTGTTTCATTAAGTCTAACTTCTTTTCTCCATCAATATTACATACTTTACACAAAAGTTCTAAAGAAGGGAGTAATTTTTCAAGTCAAATTATTCAATCAATCTATCCTCAACTGATAACCCAGAGATTAGTGGGAAATCACTTCAACCACAATCATATTTACAATGATTACAAGATCAACATGACTTCTTTCTGAAGTTTGTGCTGATGATAGTGTCTAGAATGACAATTGAAGCTTAATGATTAAACCATCCAGATGAGAGAACACAACATCAGCTACAAATATTCTCCATCTCGAAATTCTACGAGCAACAAACGCTTCTTACTGTTCGGAAATGAGAGAACTTTGCGAAGAGACGGGACTCCACAAGCGAACAACTATAATTCCTCTAAGAGTGTCTACGCCAGCATGCTCTATCGACTGGCGTCAGGTACAGACCACCTATCGGCTATTCAATGGGTTGGAAATTACTGGAAAGGAATAAAAGATACATGATACAACTGCTGATCCACGATGTTCATTATAAGATTCCGAAATATCAACAGATGATAGACAGCCAAAACAGAAAGCTTCAGGCGATACTCACAATAGAATACTTTACAAAACTGGTAATTGAGATTGAAAAATCAAACAGACAATACAGAGAAGAGAGAAGAAACACCACTCGAGAGAAGCTTGCCAAGATTTCAAAACTCTTAGCATCAGAAGGGGAAGAAGTAAGTGACTACGTAGATAACTTGTCCAAACAACCTCTGACCAAATCCAAGGAACTTCTCCTTTAGAAAGAGCTAAATTACAATACAGGAGACGCTTCAGGGCTAGAATTATTCGCATCCCTAGAGACTTCTTTCTGAAGTTTATGCTGATGATGTTTTCTAGTATGACAAAGAAAGCTTCAAGATTAAACCATTCGCCTCAGAGAACACATATCATCAGAATCATCCACCTGAGAAACGAATATTCTCCATCGTCTCAGGAAGAATATTCTTTTCAGGTGCATCACAGTAAAAAGCCTATTTTGAGATAGACACATTCTTTAGAATAGAATGTGAACTTGAAAACTGGTCCAAATGCATAACATTCATTTCATCATTATAAATGTATATGCCCATGAAAACCTTAAAACTATTCTGGTCTCAATCTCAAAATTACATTCCATTTTGAAAAATGCATTTACCACACATTTGGCACTTGTTTTGATGAACAGTTTTATTCTATCACTGTCGAACAAGAGCAATGAGGTGTGGAGCTGTGGGTTCGTTGGATTAGGTAGTCGACTATCAGCTAAAGGGTCACGGGTTCAAACACCGCTCCACCTACCCGGGGTTCGGGCAGCCAGGTAGTATCAGTTAGCCCTCACACAAGACATGTGGCTTATTACATACAGCACGAATGTGCACATAGTTGCTAAGATCATTTCGTCGAACATGGAAAGAATTTATTTTCAATAAATTCTATTCTAAGTTCATATTATTTGAAAATACATATAACTGCCTATTTCATTTCAAGGTTGGTTACTATGTCGAACACATACACCACGGAGCAATAGGACTTACATTTTCAATATTCGATCTTTGCCACCTGATACAACATACTGTCCATCAGGACTCCAATCCAATGCATACACCGCATCTGAATGTCCAGGTAAATCATGAATTAAATGACGTTTTCGTTGATGAATTGATGATGTAGATCGCTTTATCCCAGCCACATCACTGGCAAATACTTGTTTTTTCTTCTCTTGTTTTGATACAGTAACATCTTCTTGATTCCAACGACGTACTTCAGCAATAGACCATACTTTCACAGTAGAATCTTTCGAGCATGATACAACTAAACGACTATCACTTGACCAGGAGACTAAGTAAACATCTTGTACATGACCGAACATAGTAGCCAAGAATCTGACAGTCAAAAACGAAAATGAAACATATAAGAAGAATGATATAAAAATTCAAAAAGTTAGAAATTATATCAAAATACAACAACCAAACTATCCATTTTTATTTTGGAGGATTTCAGGGACTTATTTATTGATTTCTGGTTGGTATTCATCCCGGACTGATATCAGTTGCAGAACCATTGGGAAACCTAGGCGTACTGTGCAACTGTTCCGTCCTAGTATGGGAATCAGCACTGCGCAACCATGGCCTCGACAGAAATCGAACCCAAAACATTTTGCTTTCGCGGTCAGCACATTACCATTGAGCCACTGTGCCGAAATCCAGTGGTTCACATTTCTTACTTCTGTCAGTTCATGATATAGCGTGATCTCCGGTCCAAAGACGTCGTCGGGCAATTCTCCCCACATTCAACTTGGTTGGCCCCACCAGTCACAATTCTTCTACGAAACTTGGAGATTTCATTCTAATACATTAGATTTCTGTGTAATAAGGTAAAATCCTTGGTGTATTTCAGCAACAGTATTGCCTCTATTCGATCACGCTTGACTGTCTTGTGTTTCTATTTCAAACAGAAGTGAACAGTCATTATTACATGTTCTCGAAATGCACTCAGAAACTGCATGCATATTCATGAACTAGGTGATGAGCCAAACCTTTAGTGTGAGGGTTTATGATACCAACCGGTTAGCCAAACTTTGTTAAGTGGAGGGGGGTTCGAACCTGTAACCAAGAGGTTGATACTTAGATGTCTAGATCAATGAGTCATATTTCTACAAACGTTTGTGAGAGGAATTCAGCTACTAGCAATTTAACTATTCTATTCTCACATTCAAAAACTATCTTCGAGATTACTATTTGTCTATCGTATTTCGTTCAACCGAGAAGTGATTAATCCGACCACCTCAGGCTGCGAACCCTTGTGCCGACCATTTATACCATTTACCGTAAGTTGATACTAGTATGAGGGCAGAAGAAGTCCTATACAATCTAAATGTATACAGATAAATAGCAGTTTAAACCAATTCAATGCCAGTGAAATGACGATACTGCTGTTCTGGCACTTCAACGAGTTATAATTTGAAACCGGTTAGTATCGGTCACCTGTCCACAACAGGTGTTGCTCATAGTGTAGTAGTGAAAGAAAATCACACAAGATGAGTGAGTTACTCTGTACTTATATTATCGTACTAGCAAACTTATGATTAGTAGATCAGTGTAACTCAATTGAATAATTCAATGTACGGGAAATGTTTTCGCTTAATAAGGACGTAGTGATGATGATGCATGAATCCCTTGACTTGTTCAAAAAATTAAAGCTGAGATGAAAAGATATGCCCTACTAACTGGATAATATGAAACTTATCACTTTGAGGTCACTGAACAGTATGTAAACAGTTTGCTGCGCAATGATTTTTCAAAAGGAGAAAAGACAGGATTTCACAGTGAAGAGCATTGTAGTAATCAAAGCAACAAACCATGACATGGAGACTTCCGGGTGAGAAACTATCAAAATGGTTTGTGCATTATGCATCCAACACAATTATTTATTAAAACAAACAATGTGAGCGAAGAAATATTTCTTTTCAATTAGTTCCTCATCAATGGCTCTACACTAATATAGCATTTTCAAACGTAAAATTACATACCAATCTAGTGGTGAGAGTTGTTCAGTGAAAGGTTATCAATCTCAAAGTTTCAAGAAGGTGATAATTGGTCAGGTAATTAAGACAGCTAACTAAAGCGAAGATTAATTATCGTAGAAAGATTTTGCGAACAGGTTCTTACATAATTGATATTTTATATAATGATAACTAAAGAGCAAAAATGAACTGTTAAGTAAAATGGTAAATTGTTGACGGTAATTAGAGACAGTAGGGGGAGAGAAAGATGATTAAGTCTGTAATAGTAATAATAATAATAATAATAATAATAATAATAATAATAATAATAATGGAGCTATTGAAATACTAGTTATAGTGAATTGTGTGATGGATGAAATGAAGAGTCTTGTTGTAATAAATGAGCTATACAGATGGCCAAGGCAAAGAAAGAGTCTGTACGAATCTCTTCTGAACACACAGACTTGGCTTGTGTAGGTGGATTCCTATGGCTTCTGCTGTATGTAAAAGACGGACTCGTAGAGGATGGGTGAGGTGAGAAGGAATGTGATAAATAACTTTAAAGGCATTATGAATGTTAACTCGGTGGCCGGTGTCAATCAGATGAGAGAGTATTGAGCTTCGCATCGATCTGGTTTCCCCTTTACTTAGACATAAAGGGTGATCCTCGGCGATTCGACGACGGACTTGCCTAACTGTACGTCCAATGTAACTAGCTCCACAGGAGCAGTTGAACTGGTAAATGCACATAGAAGAGGAGAAGTCAGGGAGTCTGTCTTTAGTTCGTGTGGTCATCATCGGCCGGCTGTAGAAAACACAACATAACTTGGCGGCATTAAATGATCTTCTTATGGCATTTCTTAAGCGTTGTGTCACACTGAGAAAAGTTTGCAATAATGGTTATTGCATTGCAACATTTGCGCATCCATAAGCTTAAAATATGAACATTAATATATTTTTTTTTAAATACAGGCAATTTGTAACTGAAATTACACTAATAATAATCAAGAAATAATACATTCGACAAGATAATACTTACTGTCCTGTAAAACCATCCCAAATTTTGACAGAATGATCAAAGCTAGCACTGGCAAGTAGACGACCATCTGGTGAAAATTTTACGTCATTTACTACACCTTTATGACCAACCATACGAGGAGCAAGAGGTTTTTTATCAACTTCTGGTTGCCATAAGGATAATGTATTATCATCAGATCCTGAAACCAACCTTTCAGGATGAGAACCCTAAATTAAAATGTGTACTGTGAATGATTAATTAACAGACCATTAAATTATCTTAGATACAACCAACGACGATAAGATGATACTACATAAAATCAAATAGTCACCTGAAATATTTCAAGCATCTTTTCTAGAAACCATACCCCAATGGATGATACTGGGCAGTTAAGATCACAGTTTTATTCACTTTTTGAGGTAATCAATTCCATTTTTTTCTATAAAATCCACTACAGTATAAACGGTTATTAAATTATCTTTAGATAACGAACGAACAAAACGCTTTAAAACTCGCAGGACTAAAATCATCTGTTAGGAGAGAAATTGCTAAGGTTAAGGAACAGTGTTCACAGTCAATGAACAGATAACTTTGAAGAACCAATTAGATTGCAGGGACATGAAAATACAGAATAAAAGCATAAAAATTGACAGAAATTGATGAAGTAGGAAAATTTCCAGAAACATATGGTCAAAACTTTTTTCAATTTTCGCTTGGAATTTCCATGGAGCAGCTAACCTACATACATGAATTCGTCAATCAGTTCATCTTACGAACCACAAATGACTCTAACCTTTTCTTTTAACCACAATCAAACTGCTTCAATCAATTTAACGTAGGTATCAGCTATAGGATCGATAACGTTAGAAGAATGACTCACCATCTAATGTATATATAACCTAGGAAACTTAATCCACGATATGCAGCAAATTGTAATCTTAGGCATTACAAGTACAGTTACATTTCTAGTCAAGAAGAGTTTCAAAAATCCCATTCTTGAAATTAAGTTACAAAACTCAATTGGTTCGCAGCCATTCCTTCCCTATTATACTTTGTTCTTACGAAGATAATTTCGTCGATATATATCACGACTCGAACTCCATCAAGAAGTTCGGTTATCATATTCATCTTCCATGATATGGGATAAGGAAAGTGTTGTGGAGTTTGAAGACTTACAGTTCTGGGTTTCAGCAGTTATCGCCCTTACTGTCCGTTTCAGCATCCAGTCACGGCACATAGTCATGATCTTCACCAATCATAACTTGGACTTTCGGAAAAAGGTGACTATTACCGGTACCTACACCAATTCTGAGTCATATAGTTCATAAAATCAAATGATTGACAGCCATCATGAAGAATACATAAATGGAAGTCAAATCAACCGCAGCATAGATAACTTCCAACAGAAATTGGTAAAGGTTTTTACTACATGTTTCTCGAAATTATCCTATTGAGTTCATTCTTATCATAATATGTATGTTAGTAATTCTCTTTATTTCGATTTCACTTTAGATGGCACTACCATTGTTTTTTTCACCCCTAGTTTTATACTACTTACTATTATTTAGTAGTATACCTCATATAATTCTACAATATAACTTGATCCGCAACCTTGATAGTTTATTTGTGTTATAATCGCATTTTTCGTTCATTTTAATGTCCTAGGATGTTGGTATCTTTCCCATTTCACGACTGGATTGTTTTCTCCACAAATGCTCTCCTGATGCCTTTTTTCCTTATTCTTTGGACTCGTATGATTTTGATATTTTCAATCGGTTTTACTACAGTCACTGCTTTGCTGTTTGTTACTAACGCACTTCCTATAAGATGTAGGAAAGACTTAAGACGCTACGATTCTAGGTTTGCATTCTGTGATTTATCGTTGTTTATTAGTACAGTACCGTACTTCAGACAGGCTCTACAATCTGATTGGTACTTCAGAGTTAAATCTATGTTCGTTGGCTGTGGCCCTTTATTTCTTAACTTCATTGGAAAATCCTACTGGTCATCATGGCTTCCGAATTTGCTTGACACGACAGTATGAACACTTTCCCATCATCCACAAAGGGTATTATTGTCCTTGTCAGAAATTTGTGAAACACGAGATATTCGACAGGAGAGGTTGGATGTAGTAGACAACAACCAACAGCTGGTGAGTTTATTACTCATTCCGTAAGTTATTCGAAAAAAAATGTATAATGTAGATTTTAGATTTGAAAAAATTACCTTCATTTTGTCGTAGAGTGATTTCGCTAATTCGGATGTCTTTAATGCTGAAAAAAGCATTAAAAAAGAAAGATAAACAAATAATTTCTAAAATCCGGAAGTGATAAACACGTATAACCTGGGCATCCATACATGAACTAGACATTTATTGTACATTTAAAGTCATTCAGTCAACATCACTATAGGACTTGATAGTACTACATAACGATTCAAATTCTCAAAACCCATGTCAGTGCATGTAGATGTCAGGTAATAAAACGAAAGTCAATGAATTATAAGTATGGATTAGTGCATTCTTCGTTCTGTCAAACTCCTGGTCTTCTTAGCGTAAACCTACTCCAATTAACAATGAACTTCCGAGTATGTGACTACTCGACAAGTGTAGTTTATTTTCCAGCCATCAAATTTGATATGAATTCATAACTTCATCAACTGACATACCTCTTTTACGTACGACATTTTGCCTAATCCTAAAATTTCTAAAGTAGCGGTTCTGTGACAACCACGTAGTGATAACAATAATGTAATGCAAAACTCATGTGCATTTACGTGCAATGAACAATGATACATATTGGTATGGGAACTAACAATACCAACTAGTAGATGAAATAGACTTCGAACGCGTAACCCACTAGACAAAAGTTCAGTACTCAGAGAAATAGGTCACAAATTCAATACTACGAAGACAATGATGGTCAAACACCCAGAGCGTTCTCTATATATATTTAAAATGTGAAATTTGGCACTTCTCCAACAGGGAAAATATTTTATGGACATAAAAGAAATGCAGACCAGATCAGTAACAAGAAAGTAGGTACATACAGATAAAATCAACAATTTTTTCGAGAATGGGTGTATCTGTGCCACTTCAAATGATTGGGTGTTATGCCGCTCAATATCTTGAAATATTGATCTCTATAATCTCAGATACTATAAACAAGGAGTCAACACATTTCTACAGAACTCAAATCCACAATAAGACTGCTTTATAGTCGACAGATGCCTTAATCATTAGGTTCCAATATAGAATTCACCCATTAAACTTGGTCATAAACACTTACCCAACGATCAAGGTCTGGCTTTTAATAATCTTGTCAAACGCGGTATCCCTTATCACTACTATCCTGCTCAATGCATGGTTGAATGAAAGAGGACTAGGAAGGCAACAAATCACTTTAAATGGTTTTTAAAGTACTTCGGTTGACGTCCTATTCATGTGGTTTAGCGACCATCGTAATACACCGGTTAATCTGCATGAAATTGACTTACCAGTCGTTACTATAACTACTACATACTAGTGATCACAATACTAAGAACACAATAGAATGATTAAAATTTTCGATACTAACTCTCTTAGTCCCAACAAGCTCGATTTCCAGACCCTTCAGGTCGACATTAGATTGTAATATAAGTAAAATTATTCCCAGCAAGTAAGGCCTTCCTTAACTTTTTAAGGAATTAAAAACGGCCGCTTGCTTGTCACTTATCGAATCGCATGATGCAGATATTTATACATTCAACTCACATATCTCAACAAATCGTCTAGAATCACTAACTAATTCCATCAATAAAAGCTGGAATTCAGAGATATCATAGTTCAAAGTGTTGAAAAACGGAGACAGAGATGAAGACTTTGAGTTGGTATTTAACGAGTGCAGAGCATCTAAGAACTATGGAGTGACTCCTGTAGAAAAAGCTAGACCAAAATGGTTTACAGAACGGCTGATCGATTGCACTATATGTTATCAGCAATTAATTTACATAAACAGTAACTATGTTATGTTTACTGTGAATAAGCCCATAGGAATTTAAAGTCAGAAGATGGAAATTTCGTTCACGAACACTGACCTACTATTCAGTAGTTAATACATGAACATTAAAATTTGACGAGTTTGTTGAACGTCCTGAATTTGGCAAGCAACAAATTGCATAATTGAGTTCGGAGGTTTGTGCAAGGTATCATATTGGCTGAAGCAGCACTTCAAGTCAATCAGAACATCTTCCTGGAGGGGTCATGGCGGTGAACTGCTGGACAGTAACATACTAGGACGAAACACTTTTCCAGTGCTCCAAGGTTTTCAATGGTTCTGTAATTCATGTAAGTTCATGATGAATACCAACTTAAAATCGTATGATATTCATATTTATCTTGAATCATAATACGGTTCTCAGTATAAAGGACAGGGTGATGAAGGAAGGAATCACTTGCATCTTACTAGAAAATCTTTATCAATAAATCACTATTATATATCCATCCATTCAAGTCAACATAGAACCAGGGATTACAGAGTAACGGTCTGAGTTGATACACCTCATATCACTACATTAGGTAAAAAGGCAGTGAAGTAGAAGATGAAGACAAGAGAATGCAGTCAAAAAAAAAAAACGCAAAGTACGAAAAGGGAGAAAGGAAGAATGAGAAAATGCTGAGATTTGGTATAGCGTTGTTAAGATGACGATATGTGCATATACATCTGCGCCACTAATATCGGTTCTCAGCCATATCACCTAGAGTCTCCAACCACTCGTTTCTTTTGTGCCCCCGACCTAAACCACTCAGTCTACATTACCCCACATCGCTCAAACCAACAGTCAAACACTTCATACATTGGTACCATGTTTTAGTCTGGCCATCTCGAACCTTTTTCCAGACTGGACCTACTTCGGCTAACATTGTGTGATGAGGCAGACGGCAACTACGTATACGTACCACATGTCAGAGCCAACCTTCTCAGTTGATGAAGGTCCATAACCTCGTCAACTGACTTACATCTTCTCCCTAAAACTCTACACCTACACCTGACTTCTGTCTTACGTGGTGACACCACGGAATACGGCGACCTATACTACGAAGGTAACGGTGATCAAACACCAGAAGCCTTCTCATGTCTTCCACCTTCAATCGCCATGTTTCACAGCCAAACAGTAGAACAGAACGGACTGATGTGCAGTACACACAACCCTTAATACACAATCGGATATCACGGCGGTGCCCATAGGTGGTGTAGGTTGGCAGAAGCCAGTCGAGCCTCTTGTGTTCATACATAGATTTCATCGGTCACTGAGCCACAAGGGCTGATACAACTTCCTAGGTAACTGAAGTGGTCAACACACTCAACCACTTCATTCTCTATTGTTAGCCGAGGCATTGTTGAAGACCAATCCTGGAGCAGCAATTTGCATTTGGGTGGTGAGAAAGGTATCCCAAAAATTCTCGAATTGCCACTCAAAGTGTCCAGAAGACTCTACATATTGTCAGCGTCTTCACCTAACAGGCCTATGTCATCTGCATATTCTAGATCTAATGAAAATTCTCCGGTGATTAAGTCAACCTCTGTGTAGTCAGGTGACGCGAGGGAGGCGTCCATAAAAGTATCTATGATAAAATTGAATAAGAATGGAGAGAGCGGGCACCCTTGACGGACACCGCTCGACGAGCACAGCTTCCCGCACAACTCAACGGGGATTTCAGGGTTGCTACACGCAAACTCAGAAACAGTGAAGAGGAACTTTAGACTTGATAAGAAAAATTGTATCTGTTATCAGATAAAGCCTCAGGAAACAAGTGGTTGATTCTGAAGTTACTGGTGGCCCACTAAAAGGCATTGTTTTAACTGGCAAGTTTAACTTCTTGACACAATCTGAACGAACAGTCGGAGAAATCGATTGATGTTATATATATATATATATATATATATATATATATATATATATATATATATATATATATATATATATATATCTTACCAGTTTCTGAATCTTTCGGAAATACAGGTACTGTCTTTACTAACTGAGCACAAGCAGGATCAAAGGCACCAGTACGCAATACATAATCAGTACTCAAGGCTAAACAGTTGACCCAGTGTCCATGCAAATTCAATGTACGACACAGTACACCATCTTTTGAACGCCAAACTCGAATTGTACGATCTTGACTAGCGGAATAAATTAAATCTGTTCCACCCCAACGTAGGCATACAACTGGCTTATCATGACCTGTAATTGTACGTACTGGTTGACCTGCAAATGTATCCCAAATAACAATTGAACAATCTTGATAGGCAACTGCAAGTTGTCTGCATTCTGCATCCCTAGAAAGAAAAACAATATGAAATCAACACTTAAAATAAGGTTTTCTGCTTCATGTGAAGATACGTTATGCATCATTACCAACTTACTAATCACTCAAATTTAGTGCTGACAACCAAAGATGAATGAAACAGCTGTCAAGTGTTTAGATCACCACGATGTGACTAGTGAGTACGTCTACTTGTCATCATAGTTAGTCAACATAATATATCAGGCAAAAGTAGAAGCAGCTGATAAATTTAATCGTTTTTCAGTTTGCGGTTTATCAGAAATGTGACCCTTATATAAGTTTACAGCTTGAGTGATTTTCAGTGACTGTGAATAAAGTTAAATAGAACTTGGATTTCCTCTTCTAATACCTTTGTTAGTATGGTTTTCAGTTTAACTTGCGTAATTGAGGTAGTGTTTCGAACCCAATACAAACACATCTTAAAGCTAACTTCTAAATTTACAAATAGCTGAATATTCAATTTGGAGGTTTGTGGGGATTTCTATTATTTCAAGTTGGTATTTATAAAGAACTAAAATCAACTGGAGAATTATTAAAAACCTTGGAGTATTAGACAGCTGTTTCGTGCTAGTGTGGTACTCCTCAGTAGTACGCAGCCATGAAGCTGCAGGAGATCAAACCCAGAACCTTTAGGTTGCATTGAATACGTGATATAATCGATATGAAAACAGTTCGATTTCGAAATGAATAGTAAACAGTGACACAAAAAAGTTACGATGATTCCATCTGAGCCAGTAACAAACCACATCAACTCAAAGAAAGAGAAACTGGAAGGTGTTTGTCGGCGACCAAACTAATGCTGATCAGAAACAAATGTATACGCCTTTATGGGTTCTTACATAACCGCATCAAGGATGGGCAATGGAAAGTCTCAGTTTGCGAAGATGAGTTAGGAATTTTCAATTAAAACTTGAGAATTCTAAAATTATTATTATCATTGTCAATTGGGTTCCTAGTGCAACACAGGGCTTCAGTTACACGTCGCCATTTCACTCTCTTCTCTGCAGTCTTTTCAACCTGGCTTCACGACTGCTCACAAGCTTTCATTTCTTCCTCACATGATCGCCTCCATGTCACCACTGGACGCCCGACTCGTTGTTTCCCCTTTGGATTCCACTCGAGGGTCAGGAGCAAGATGTCCCCAATCGGTCTTCTCAGTGTATGCCCAATTCATCTCCATTTTTTTCTGCATATTTGTTGGGCGATGGGTTCTTGGTTGGTTCGTTCCCAGAGTTCCTTGTTGTTTATTCTTTCTGACCATCTGATCTTCAGTATCGAGTGAGCGTAGGCAGCAGTTGATGAATGTCTGTAGCTTGTTGGAAATGCTTTTCGTAAAGCGTCAAGTCTCTCAACCATCACACAAAAACACTGACTTGACTGACAGTAGTGTTGAAAATCCGGATCTTGTTCACACTTTATTTTGAGTAGAGTGAAGTGTAGTAGATTTTCACACCTATTTCAGGTTAATGAAGGCCTGCCTTGCTGTCTTTCCGATAATGGCTTTAACTTCCCCATCTGCGCCGCCGTCTGTAGTTGAAGCGATGCTGCCATGCCTAGGTAGGTGAAACAAACTACTTCCTTTAGGTTTCGCCTGTTGATGGTGATCGATACTTATTGTTGTTGTTGGTTAGGTATCTTCATCACCTCTGTCTTCTCTACGTTCACTTGAAGCCTATTTTGTCAACTCGTTGGTTTTGGCCTGTAGATCTTCCAGTTTGTGCGACATTAGACATAAACCATCATCGGCGAAATTCAAATCTACTAGGTTCTTTTCATCGGTCCAGCGTATTCCCATCTCATTCCTCAAGCTTTGCTGCATGATCCAGTCGACCACAATCAAGAGGATCATCGGTGATAGTAGGCAGCCTTGTTTTACTCCCGTCTTCACTTCAAAGGCGTCACTGAGCCTACCATTGTGAATTACTTGGCATGTGGCGTCTTCATATAGCTGTTGAATGAGGTTGATGAAGATTTGTGGCACTAAAACCGTAGTGTTGAAGCAACTGCCAAATTACTTGTCGGTCGACGCTGTCGAAGGTCTTTTCAGAATCAATGAAGTTGAGGTAGAGAGTTGACTGCCATTCTATGATGATGCGTAGCGTAGCGTTGCAATTTAATCCGCACATGATTTGTTCTTCCCGAAGCCAGCCAGCCAGCCAGCCAGCCTGTTCCAGCCGTAATTTTGAATCCAGCTCATCTTTTAGTCTCTTCACGGTGATGCGGCGCAATATTTTGCTTAGGGTGGACAGGATTGGAGCATGATTCCGCCTCAGTCCCTGTGAAGACGTAGGTCTTCCTTCTTTGGGAGTTTAACAAGGTAGCCCTTCTTTCACTCGGCAGGTACCTTTCCTTCCTTCCAAACCTTCTGCAACAGTGGTGTGAGCGTGTCCGCTGTTGTCTCTGCGTCTGTTTACAGTGCTTCTGGAGGAATTCTATCTGGTCCTGCTGCTTTCACGGATTTCGGTAACTTTTTGGCATTCGGGACTTCGGGTTTTGTTGGAGGGCTTATGTTCACTGGTAATTCGGTGGCTGGGTTGCTGGTGATATTTCTGGACGAGTTGCAGGTGGTAGTCAATTCAAGAGTCTTTTGAAGTGGTTAGCCCATTATTTTCCTTGTTCCTCCTCTTCAGTGACCAATTTTCCTTCACTATCTTTCTTTGGTTTCACCTGCGTTGATCTCTTCCCAGATAGTATTTTGGTTATTTGATATAGTGTTGTCAGGTCTCTCTCACCAGGCTGCAGCCTGTTCTGCTCCACTTGCAAGTGTGTCATAGAAGTGTCTTTTGTCTATGCACGCCCTTTTCTTCACTTCTTTGTCATGTGTTTTAAAGTCTGTGTTCAGTTCCTCTTTTCGTTGTTCATCCTTGCACTGGTCTATCTTCTGCTACACCATCTTCCTCTCCCTGCTCTATCAACTTCCATGTGTCCGTCGAGATCCATTCCTTGTCTTGTTTCTTCTTCCTTCCTAACACTGTGATACAGGTTTCTTACCACATAGCTTTCACAGAGTTTCAGTATTCATCCACACAGGTTTTTTCGGGGATGTTGCTCAATGTCTCCCATTTTGTCCTGATGACTGGCTGACGTGAGGATTTCCTTCGTAGTTTCGTCCTTCAGTTTCTGTTCTGGGTGTTCAACTTGAACTGTGGTCTATCACCAACTTCTTTCAAGGCTTTCAACTTGACTTGGAAGGTTCCTTACACTAGACAGTGAGTGGTGTGAGCCTACATCTGCTCCCCTTCTTTATCTGATCTTGTGTCCAGTAAGTTGCGTCTCCACTTTCTTCAAATTGAGATGAAGTCGATTTGATTTGTAGTGTGTCCTGGTGTCTGGTGAAATCAAATCCATTTCTCTTTGTGAATATTCTTGTGTTTGTACGCACTGCCTCCAATCACCAAATTGTTGAATGTACAGAAGTCTGGAAACAGTTCTCCATTCTCGTTCATTTCACCGAGTGCTCCTCGACCCATGGTTAGTTCTCTTCCAGTGTTGTCCGCTCCCAGCTTGGCATTCATGTCACCCCATCCATTAGAATTTTGATGTCACTGTCGCCAACTGAAGCCCTGTCCAGTACTGAGTGCAGTTATCTGTAGAATTCCTTTTTCTTCTCTTGATCTGCATTATTTGTAGGTGCGTAGCGCTCTAGGATTGTGACTTTCCTTCCTTTTGAGTTGAACCTCGCTGTTATGATCCTGCATAAGGAGATTGGTTCCCACTGTATGAGAGAGAGCCTTTGATGTTGGTGGGAACATCATGATCGCCACTCCAAAACTCAGTGTACTCGTGGTTGTCGTCTAAGTGACAATATCGGGGTAGATTATTGATTCTCCAGTTGACAGTTTGAGGGGTCCACTTCCATTGCATCTGCTTTCGCAGATTCCTAGCACTTCTATGCTATACCTTCTCATCTCTTTTGCAATGTGGGCAGCCTTTTCGACCAGCTTCAAACATTATTCGGACATTCTGTGTCCCCATGTTTACTTTTGCTTTCATCGAGAGAAGACCTATCGGCCGATTGGCTTCCCGGAGGCTTTCGGCCATTTCGTCTCTCCGATTTCAGCGAGGAATGAGTTTAATTTTATTTTTTATGTTTACTTTGTGCTTTGAAGTTTCTTTAGCGGTTAGATTGGTTTTACGGGGTAGAATTGCCAGTCCTATGCCCAACTTTTCCCCTTTATTCGGGCTTGGGATCGGCTAGTAGCTAGTGAACTAGTTACCTGGGTGAGGTTGAGAATTCTAAAATGGTGATTAAAAATACTTCATTTCATGGTAGGAAAGTAGGTTTTATAACGCAGTGACACTAGGTAGTGTTCTACTGGGAACGAGGGAGCAACAAACAACAGTTTCTCACCTCAACAATGTGGATTATTATGGGGCAATTGGGCGAAGAGTGTAAATATATAGTTGATTGACTTCAGTACACGGCTATTAAGCGACGGGTTTCGGGTTCAAATCACCTACCTCCGCAACCTACTCCATCTTAGCCAAACGGAGAGTCCATCCATCCATCCTTCTTAAGGTACCTGAAAGAGATTTGTGTGACCGCAGAGCCTTACTGCTGCCATACCCCATCCAGCTAGCAGCAGTACGACTTCGCCCTCAGACGCCCATCACAGTGCAGTAATTTACAGGACAACGGTAACTGCTTTTCGTCTAACCACTCACTGTCCAACAGACCTTTCTGGTATGTTAGGACCTCGAGGGAACAAGTGTTCCACCAGCACAGCTCGTCGGGTCATTGTGATATACGAGCCAAACGGATAGTAGCCTAGGACGACACACAATAAGTTTACCTCATAGCCTGATATATAAATATGTACTTGGTTATTATCTACGTATTATTTATAGTCTAATAGATGAAACTATGATGGTTAATTGGATTACTGAATCAACTCATGAAGGTAGTAACCGTATTACGGAGATTATGTACAAATGCATGATTCATTTACACTGCTCCATAGTTAAATTTTCTTGTACAAACTCTTCATTTTGAAAATTACTAGTTGATACCGAAACCAGTGAATGATGGTAAAACATTTCTAAATATACTGACAGACATACGAACAACCACTTAGTTGTCGGTAGACAGAAAATTTGATATTATGACCAAGGAAATAGTGAACAACATACTGCAATGTAGTTTTTGTGATCGAAAATATTAGACACCAGAACTAGATATAATCATGGAACTACAACATCAACGAATTTGACAGCATTCTACAGCAGATAATAAAGACTTACAAATGCAATGGTCTCCATACAACAGATCGTATCCAACGTCCTTTAGAAGAAGCTGGAGCAGCTGCTAACTGTGGTCTAATTAAAGGACGACTGGTACATAAGGACCAATCATTACTGGTTTCTGATTGACGCCATAGACAAACCAAACCACCTTGACAGCCAGATGCTAAACGAACACCATCTGGTGACCAAGCCAAACACAAAACTGGAGCTTTATGAACTTCAGACCCCGTAGTCAGAGGTAGTTCAGTATTGAGATCCCAGAAACGTACTGTTTGATCACCAGAACCACTAGCTAAACTTCTGTAACGTAATATAAAGTAATAAATACAACCTCACGTATATACTTGGTAGAATTACAAGACATCATATGATATACGGATTCACATTACAAACACTTATTCAACGGTCACAGTAACGATGATATACATCTCTTTCTCTTTTTTGAATTTGCAAGGATTTATCTTCTCACAGGTGATTCCCTTAATAGGCCTAGAGTACGCAGATGACATATTCCTTCTAGGCAAGACACTGACAATAGGCAGTCTTGTGGGCACCTTAGGTGGCAACTTTAGAATCTTTGAGAATGTTTCTCACCACCATTTCAATGCAAATCGCTGATCAGGGACTGATCTGTGTGGATGCCTTGTCTAACAATATGGGGTGAATTACTTGAGCACGCTCACCGTCTCACCAGCTTAAGAGGTCTGATCAGCTATGGTGAGTTGGTGACCAACGAAATATCTGTATGGTGCTAAAAATCTCGATTGGCTTTCGGCACCACCAAAACATCTTATTGCCTACTAAAGACCGTTTGTTCTATTCTACTATATGGCTGTGAAACATGACCATTAAATGTGGAGGATATCAGAAGGCTTCAGGTGTTCAAAAAACTTTGCTTTCGCAGCACAGATCGTATACCTTATTGTCACCATGTCAGTAACGTAGACATCAAGCGTAGAGTTTTGGGTGAAAGATGAAATTCAGCTGATTAGATTGTGAAACTTCACTAACTCAGTTGGTTGAGATATTTGTTACCGTTAAGAAGTGTGACAATATCTTCAAGATTTGTCACAGAAGCCTGAAAACCCCTGAAAAGCCTTCAAAACCAATCAAAGCATGCCAAACGTTCGCGAAAAACCAAGTGATAACGTGTGTGAAAAAACTCATTACAAAGGTGTAGAAACTTCCACGGCCGTCAGCAAGCTTATATAAACCGTTAGTTTTGTTTGTTAGTTTTAGTTTTGACTTGATAATAAACTTTTATCGTTTTTGCCGCTTCTGTACTGTTTTTGAGGAACCAAGCAACCCTCAGGGCGAGCCTTAAGGTTATTGTTCAAGAGTTCACCTACAAATAGCTGCATATATACCACAAGGATATATATCAGTTACACAGGCCCAGTTACAATCTACCCCGTAGCGCGATGTTAACCGGAACCCGTTCAGGTTACAAAAAGGACAAAAAATAACCAGACTGAAGAATCGCATCACTCCATGAAATCCCTGACTAATAATCTGAGCTGTGTAGGGGAACGTGAACTTCCTGGTTAGTCTCTATGATAATCAGGATCGCTAGTGATAGCTCAGTGGTGCATATGTATCCCCATATTTCCTTCATTCTAGTCGTCACATCAGATTTAGTTGCTCTTTTCTACAATAAAAGGATTGAAATGGAAAGCTGTGTTTTCAATAAAGCTAACAGAGGACCTCCAACCTGAGCTACAAATGTTAGTCACAATGTAAAACAGTACAATATATTTAAACATTTCAAGCTCACAGTTCACATCGAAAGACATTCCTCGAACAAATTAACCTATGTTTGAGAGATGTAATGGCAACTAAAAGCGCTTCGGTCACTAATTTTATCCTTGTCACATACAAATGATGAGTAAATATATAAAGTCCGATTACTAACTGACAGAAACAGTCGAATAAACAAACAGCATATAAGACAACGATAATCAAACACTTAAAGTAACCAAATCTTTACAAACAAAAGAAAACTAACAGTGGCAGATAGGTGATATGATAAGCCTCAAAACAGGCACAGGTCAAGACAGGAAAGAGAAAAAAATCTCATTCGCAAATTTTCGTTTACCAACCTGAAACAAAGACAGAACTTTTAAGGGAAAAACAAACTGATGGCAATAGTGTCACAGGTTCTTAACAGTGCACGTGTCCCTTCCTAGAATTCTGTACCTATTTAAAAAACTCAAAACAAAAGCCTTTATATCAATGGATAACTAGTCTGTCTTAAACTACGATGGCAAGTGCTCCGCACCATCCACGTGCAAAGTGCTTCTACAAGGTTGGCAGGAGTCTGGACCAGTAGTTATCCATGGTGTTGAATCGATGGAAGTTTTTCAAACGTCTTTGTACCTGGATAGATGTGTGACTCCTGGTGGAGGTGTAATTGGAAAGATTTCCGACAGTATATCGAAAGCCAGTGATAAACGCCAATTTGTACCATCACTGGTATCGTTGTGATGCTGACCTTGCTGTAAAAGGTAGATATGCAGCACATCGGTGGGCTATCCTGCTCTACCCCGATGAAACATAGCCCCTCCTAGCTAACGCTGTCCGAAGACCCTGCTTTTTCAATCACCGTTGTCTCCATAGGATTTCTTGCGCCCGATGGAAACACTATGTAAGTTATCTGAACTTGAAGTGGTGTGTATCTGGGATTGAAGATGATCGTCATGGACTGAATGTAGTCATTTTGAAATGCTGGGTTCGGTACCACAAATGTCATATAATCGGCTCCCACACTATCCACTTCCCCCTGGGATTGGTTGGAAGACGCGAAGACGTGGTCAGTACATAAAGTGCCACCATGAGATGAAAAGTAGTTGCGTTCGGTTATCACCGGTAGTTGCCTCAGGACTGCCTGTCTCATCATCATCATCAAAACCAACATAGGATCGGACACTACTAGGTGACGGTCCAAGTTACCATTACCAAAATCACCATATCTAGTAATAAAGCAATGAAATGGAAGATGAAATAAAGAAGGAAAATCGGTTAAAAGAAGTAGAAAGTAGTAAAAGAGAGAAGGGAAGAATGAGAAAATGGTCAGATTAAGTAAAGTGGTTAAGATGAGAATAATGCGTACATACATCTGCGCCATCGACATAGGTTCTAAGCCATATCACCTAGAGTCTCCAACCACTGATTTCTCTTGTCCCGTGGACCCCAGTCGGCTAGTGTGCATGGTCCTACGTGGCTCAAAGAAACAGACAAGGACTTAATGTATTGATGCTATATTTTAGTCTGGCCGCCTCGGGCTTTTTTCCAGCCTGAAGCTACTTCGCCCAACCATCTCAGTCGATGAAGGTTCATCACCTTATCAAGTGACTTTCTTCTCTTCCCTAAAACTCTACACCTGACTTCTGCTTTATTCGTGTGCTGACACCAGGAAACACGGGCTATGTTACGAGTGCAACGGTGATCAAACACCCGAAGCCTTCTCATGTCTTCTGCCTTTATTGCCCACAGCAATATAGAAGAACAGAGCGGACTTCAGCACAGCACATTCGACCCTTAATAGAAAACCAGATATCGCGACGGAGCCAAAGATGGTGTAAGTTGGCAAACGCCAGCCGAGCCTTTTGGATTTGTGCAGAGATTCCATAGGCCAATGTCCCACCATGACTGGTCCAACTCTCCATGTAAATGAAGTATTCAAAGCACTCAATCGCATCATACTTTATTGTTGGTCGGGGTACCGTTGAAGACCAGTCCTGGAGCAACAATTTTCATTTGGGTGGCAGGAAATATATCCCAAACATTTTCAAATCGCCATTTAAGGTATCCAGAAGACTCTGCATCTTGTCAGCATCTTCACCTAACAGGACTATATCAACTGTGCATTCTAGGTTTACCAAACATTCTCCTGTGATTAGGTCAATCCCTGTGTGGCCAGATGACGGGAGGGAGACCTCCATAAGAACATCTGTGGTAAAATTGAATAAGAATGGAGATAGTGAGCATCTTTGACGGATACCACTCGACGTAAACAACTCACCCGATATCGCACTATAGGCTCTAACAAGCAGGTAGGTGTTTGAGTACAGAGTCTTCAATAGGGTGATGTACTTACTCGGTTTCGCTTTCAGTGAGAGACACTGACATAAGACTTTTCGATAGATGGAATTGAATCCCGTCTTCAGGAGGAGAAACGAAGCCAGTGTCGGCCGTCAGTAAGCGTGCTTGTGCTCCAGAACCTGGTGGAGTGTGAATATTTGGTCGATACATCCCCGGCAGGTCTGAAGCTTGCCTGATTTTTTCGCGCTTTCACTTTTAGAGCTCCAGTTTGGTGTCTAATGGTTATAGAATAGAACTTTAGAAACTATGTTCAGCAGGCTGATTTCTCTGTGGTTATCACAAAAGGACTTCTTGTCTTTCTTGAAGAACGGGATAATCAGTGGTTGAGACCAGTCACAGGGGATCATATTCGACTCCCATACACTAGTTAAAACTTTCCTGTCCACTACCGTTGGCGGTCAGTCTACATTTGAGTTATGTTCGCTCCTCATTGTATTCGGAGCCTGCAGAGATGTGTTCGCGGGCATCCATTAATTCAGAAGCTGCTGATATACACTGGATCTTTTAACCACTCTGCGAGAGTCGGCTACGGTCTTTAGTGCTGTTATTACGCAGACTGGAGACGATATCAAGCTTCTTCTGAATAAGTGACAGTGTTCTGTTTTGATAACTGCCTAGATAGTTTCTCACAGAAAGCGGCCTTAGTGCTCTCATTTTCAACCTGTACTTGTAATGATATTGCTGCTAAAGCTTTGCTACGTCCATTGAGACGCAGACATATACGCACTTGAACCAACGAGTGGTTGCTATCCAAACACGTGTTCCAGAAGGAGCGGCAGTCTTCTACCGACCCTCTCCAGAGGTGAGTGATAGCAATGCGGTCTATCTGCGTCCATCCCTGAGTTGAGAGATTATACAACTCAGCGGCTTCAGATGATAACAGATACAGCTTAGAATAGAAACCAGTGGTAATCACGCTGCAATTACCCTATTTCTTAAAAGTAACACGAAAGTAACAAACGCTTCTTCGGATGCATCTTAAACACTGCTTCTTTAATAACCCAACACCGTTTTTGTTTTCTGTTTTTTATTATAATGTTCCTTTATTATTTTGTGTGGCACATCTCTTGGTGCCTGTTTTAAAAGGAATTTGTGTTCTTATTATGCATAAAGTCCTCAAAACTAGTTACCATTCTTAACTTCCTAATATACCTCTGACAGAACCAACACTGGATAAGCGGTTGCTCCGCATATGCAAAGTATGATCTGATTATTTCAGTTGATGCACGTTCAAAACCTTCTTTGCAGCAGACTGAATAACATCAGACCACTTGGAGATGGAAATTGTTGTCATTTTCGTGTTTGTTCTATCAATCTCTCTCTATACAAAATATAACTACTTTCGTTTCAAGACTAAGGATGAAAAAAGTTTTTAAACGCATACTTCTCACCTTTGGCATCCCCTCATAACGGTATATCTTACGACTATCCCAGGTAGTAAATTTAAACTTTATTGTTTTAACCTTAAGTCAAGCAGAAAAACACTGATAATCCAGACAACTATAAAACGGTACAGATTAGCATATACGTTTTAGAAAGTTTACTTACCTTCCATCTGGTGAAAATTGTACAACTAGAACAGCGCCTTTATGTCCAGGTAAACTACTTGAACAACGTGTGACAGGACGAACTCGGAAAACAGCCTGTGCCTGATAGGTAACTTTCACCACAGCCTCAAGACCAGTTGATCCGAACTTTGGTAAAGAAGGGTCAGTACCTTTGGCTCGTGCTTGAATTAAGGCTGCTTTCAAGTCATCCAAAATTTGTACATCACCCACAAAAAAGTCGTACGTCAGAGGATTTACATCTGTCTTTGTTAGAAAAAAAAGGAATTAGAACTAAACTACAATGAGGTCATATTAGATTATTTATTTGATACAGAACATAGTGATATGGTATTATCTACTGGATGGCGTTTTGACCAAAATTTATAGCTCATATTCACCGATATTGTTTTGATAAACCACTTCCAGAAGTATTTCGAGGTGGTGTAATGGCTACCGGTTAAACTAACAGGTGTTACTTAGCAGCATATGAGTCGAGGATAGTTTCTTGATATTCTTCTTCAATTTTACTCTGAAAAGACTTAGATTACCTGTAAACCACAGAGAAATTATATTAAATAATAAGCTTAAAGTTTCTATGATTGTTTCACTGCCCGGACCTTAGTAAAACAAGGAAAGAATTTGTTGGTCTAGCTTTACTAAAACACCTTCTTAAGCCCCATAGTTTACAAACATTTGGTATCAAAAAAGAACGCAAAACCACCAAGTCTGAGATAAACGGAGGTATCAGATCTAGCTGAGAATATATTACTCAGAGTTTACTTTAAACCAGGTTCGGGACTGCCATGACTATCAACCTCCCATTTTCACCATACCCTTTTACCTAGAGCAATATTTAGCTGCCTAGTCGAAAGACTCTGTGGAACTGCTTGTCACTAAAATAACAGACACAAATTAACGTTTCTGAAAAATCTCCATTTTAAATGATGCGGTTACATGCGTAGGTATAAAGAGTTGACATTGAGGTGATAATGGGTTCAATAAGCAGTTTAATTATACGAAAATTATTTTCCAACTTTGCTTTACATGAACCAACAAAGACAGTTATATTTATCTTTCACCTACCAAAGTTCAACTTGCTTCCCAAAATGTCTTTACTACAAGTTTGCTAAATGAAATTGACGTGCAAGGTCTGCTAAACGAATGAGATACAAGTTTGCGAACACTTAGGATGTTTCGCTCCTGATAAATACAAAATAGTGCTTCTCGATCGATCTGTAGCGGCAAATCGGAGAAAAACAACTGAGAGTCAATCAACTTCTTAAATGAAGAATTGCATTGACTGTAATGGAATGATAACTAACAAAATCTGAATACGAATACAAAAAGGAAGACGTGAACCCAAAACTTTGTACTGACTGTGATTGCAGTGATAAATCAAAACACGTTTGAGCAATAGAAACATTGCTATTCAAGAAAAATAATGTAAGATTAAGGATATTTGATCATCAATGTCTTTAGAGCATTTCTTGACTATGGTGGAGACATCACGGGAGAAATGCCAGAGTTAGATGTAGAATTTTCGAGCAGAAAACGGTAAATCGGTAGGTGAGACCATACACATGCAGCCACTGAACTGATTGAATACAGAATTACAACCTATGAAAGTTCGTTAGTGATCCGAATAAGAATGCGTTTAAAGGTTGGATCATCACTGGTGTAAAACAAACTAGTAATCCATGGAGGCACTAACTGTTGGTTTGGATATTTTGGACAAGCTCGAGATTACTGAATGAGATACATGTGCTGGTATCAGAAAACAGTGGTTGGAAAGCCTAATAAATACGGTCAATTACAGTGCTACATGTATTCAGTTCGTTTAGCACAAGATATTCAGCATTAGTACTGATCTACACAGTTTTGGTTCTTGAGAGATCATATTCCTAAAATCCAGGCTTAACTGATGTTACCTCTCGGGTCGATCGACCGATGCGCTTTATGTGTATTCGATGTAGGTTACATTTCAAACGGTAACTAATAGATTAAAGGCTTCTTAAAATATTCCGACATCTCTCGGGGTCCGAAAATCCAATAAAGAGCACATATTAGGAAAACCAAAAGGGCAACTACTCACTCTTTGGAGAAGATTACTCAACAAATCAGATAGTTTAGCAGTGTCGATATCCAAGGGAATCCATATAGGAGTGCCAGCTTCGTTCCCATCGCTATCCGTTAGCTGTATGAAAACAGATTCATTTGAACTCTCATTCACGTTCGGTGTTTCATGCGTAGGATCACTGGGCATTAGATGATTAAGTGCATCCTCGACTCCGGCCGACGGTAAGTGTAGGGCGGTATAGCTAATAGGTTTATAAAAATGACATAATTATATCGAAGATAGTTAAAAAAAACTATAGTTTAGTTATTCATCATAAATAGCTTTGAATGACCTAGGAAAGGTAAAAACACAACTTCTACAGTGTTTTCTGAGATTAAATACACAACTTTTGGTTCAAAAATGCCTCGTGATAGTAACGAACCAAATGAACGGCTCCCAACATGGTATTTTGGAAGTGTTTTTTTCCACTAAAGCTCCGACAAATCAACAATCAGAGTGCCTTTAAATTTTAAAACTTAATGCGAATGGATTAATACAGTTAAACCCGATTTGAGATAGAGGTAAATCTGATTACCTATGTATTATCAAATACTTAGTTTTTCAGGTAACTCCTTCAAATATTTTTTATTTCTTGGTATAAGTGGTTGTCACAATGAAATACTGCTACTCAGAGAGTTGCTAATTTAGAAGTTATACATCAAACATTCTTAATGAATAACGACTAACAAGTGCAGACCCATTTTAACACAGTAATTTATGAACTGTGTCATTAGTTCGCGCAGTAACGTTACGAAAGCGACTTGTATTTCAATCTACTACTACCACAAACGATGAGATAATGAAATAATTTGACCGACTAACCTAGTCCGACCCTAACGCACACAACTAACGAACTACTGGTGAAAATCAAGGAAACAACCAGTACTTACTAAGCCCCTTGGTAGTTAAGAATACTGGTAAACTTATGAAAAATTAGCTATTGGGGAGATGGATAAACCTTTTACGTACGGGAACCAAATCTAGGAAATGGAACTTGAAGCTTTTACTTTAACCACTTCGCAGACAGTTTTAGTAACCGAATATTCTAGTCATTTTGTATTCTTTCAAGCCCATTTACTTATTTTCGGGGACATTTCAGTTTTTGACTGCTTAGATGTTGTAAAGGAAGTATGGTTTGCGCTGAAAAAGCTTAAGTGAATAAAAAAAGGGTGATCAGAGTAAAAACAGAAAACTGCAACAGTACTTCGAAAAAGACGCTTCTTTGTAAACTGCTGGCACTTCAGAAACACGGCGAAAACTCTACACACCTTTGATTTAATTCGCAAAATTTAAGCGTTTAGTGTAGGCTTCATGAAATCTGCATAAAATCCTAAGTGACATCTGCTCACAACAACTTACTGACTGCACTTCTGTAATGCCACATCTACCTTTGTATTATTAAGATTAAAATCGTCATCATGTTTCCATTAATTCATTAGTTTAACCATTTTCACACTATTCTTATTACCTATTTTATCTTATTTCGCCTTATCTCCTTAATCAAACCCTTGTCTTCATACCCAAACTCTTTATAAAACAGAATGATATCTTGACACTAAGAAGTAAACACAATGAAATAGACTGCTTTACAATAGCCTGTTAGAATATAGCATAGAAAATTTTTAAAAGACATTTATACATTATTTATAAATACTTAAAACCCAACTACGAAATTGAGATGTATATGTGGTCCTGGTCGATACACTGGGAGGGAACCATAAACCACTAACCGATGTCAATAAAATATCCAACTACGGAAATACTTCAGAGCTATCCGATATGCAGACGAAAAATTCTTTATTGAATGAACCACAGTGGTATCAGATACTTGAAAACCTATAGTTTTTAGGCTTTAGCAATGTAAGGTGTAGGTATATACCTTAATCTGTCAAAACTAGGTGCATTTGGTAACTTGTTAAAATGAAGTTATTGCAAGACAGGTAGTAATTACCATTATCATCTTGTTTAGAAGCACATTTTAACACCGTTTTAACTGACCGCACTTCAGAAAAACAGAAAGTCAACATAGAACCTGGTATATAAATGTATTGATTTCGAATGCAATACTTGACAGTAGCATGCAAATAAAGTGGGTTAAAAAGAATGATGTTTGTGACGACAAAAGCATACGAGAGAAAAGGGATTAAATAAATGACGCTTATTGAAAACGGTCGAAATCTTGAAGATGAAAAAGAAAATATGTCTATAGCCTTGGCTCATTCGTCTATGTACTTGATTTCCAACCAATGGGTCAAGAGATAGAACTCAGCTCAACCTATCAAGGTCTGGGCATCCACGTGCCATTATTAATTCCCATACAATAGGTGCAGCCCGTTACCCACTCTACAAATATGCACAAGGTTTCTGAACGGGTTTCGACTTTTTCCAATTCAACCTTTGATGACTTTTCACAATTTTATAGCGAGACAGAGGGGTCTGCTGTGTAGTCCGCTAGCCCTTTAGCGCGCAATGGCATAACTCGCCGACGCCATAAGAGATACAAATTGGTGGAGGACAAACGAGTCTCTGGTGCCTAAACCGAGATTCCCTCAGTGACAGATCCATGACGGTCGATTCATTCTCCCATGTAAGTGTAGTTAAGTTTCGAACTACCCTACTACTCATTTTCAGAAGCAATATGAACGTAGGCTAGTGCTGTTGCATTTCGGGATGGAGAAGGTAAAGGATCCATCCCAACCGCTGTGTTTAGACAACAAAACGTCCCAGTATTCTCAAGTGAAAAGGTGATGTCATCTTCATATTTAAGGCCTACTGAGGAGAAAATCAATGGATGTAACTCAGGTGAGAAGACCTAAGTAGGGACATGTATGACAAATTGAAAGAGGAATGAAAGGAGTGGACATACTTGATGGGCGCCAGTGAATATAGACATACACACGCACACCTTCAAATACCTTCAAATAGGCTGTAGTACACCCAGTGGTGCTAGGATATATGGCCTTTAATATAGTGATGAACATACCCAACAGCTTATTCAGAAAAACAGTCAAAAACCACTTGGTCGAAGCAATCGAACTTATACAGGTCAGGAACTACAGTTAATTTCCAGGACCAGAAGGTGTCTCAGCTCTTAAAGACCTGAAAAACGTGAGCACTTAATTAGCACACTCACAACGAGGTCTGAAACCTGACAGGTAGCATTTTAGTCAGTTTGACAGATGAACCTGCGCTAAAGAACTTGAACGCAGTTAGCCAAGACCTTTACGGCCTGCAGTCATTTGTCACCATAATACTGAGAACAGCCTTACCGAGGATTGCAAGAGTTGGACAGTTTATGTCAAAGTGACATTCACGCCCAACTAAAAAACAGGAGACCAGAGAGTAGCCAAAGGTCATTTGAACTATTCAAAATATTCTATGCACCATACTAGTCGCCTTCGCTGCAAGTGAATCATCTGCTCATCCTTCTCCTCCACTGCCTTACCAACGGACTGGCTTATTACTACACTTCCAGTGATATATTTAAGTGGTTGGATGCAAAAATCATGCAAAGCCTGAGCCACTTGCTGAGTAGCTTTGAAGTAATCAATCAGAACCGTTATTAAACGAACCTTTTGAGAGCTAACGATACAAAAAGTTTTGTTTTTCAGTTTATGCACGAAATAATGCGGTTTCAGTGATCTACACAATAAACTGATATATAAAATTTGTAACAATGACCAGAGAGCGTGAACAGTATCTCAACCGAAAATTAGTGGTAGTCATTAAAAAATATTAACCGAAAAGGTTTACACACCAGATATATTCAAGCTGGTTTACTCCTAAAATTTTATCTCATAAGTAACTTCGTAACACAAAAAAAAGCCAGGTAGTGTCTTGAATCCAGTATCAGACAATCTGGTTTTCTGCCAGTTTCACATACTAAGGCGACATTTCTTTCACTTGGAATGAAACTTTAAAGTCCATGGATTTGAAGTTATGTTAGACTTGCAAGACGACGCAAGGCCATCATACGAAAGTTACTTTCTCATTCTGGTAAATGTGAACTAATAAACCACATTTTCATTGGCTTCAAAGTAACAAGAACAACTTACGGTTACTCACGCTTACGACGAATACTTCATTTTACCACTAAAAACAACTGCATACTGTCACCAGTTACTGCTACCTATTCCATCTTTTCAGACTTCCTTAACCTCGACTCGCATTCTCACTGCATATGCTCATCGAATGTCTACATTTGAGCTGCTTTCGCCTTCTGTGTGCTCTGAGTCAATATGAATACCTTCACATGCTTCAATCGCAACAAAAGAGGATGCTAGGGATCCAATAGCTCCTTCGAGCTTTCATTAAGGTTCATCTACACAAGACTAAATTCATAAGAATAGAGGCATCGATAAATATAAGTGTAAGACTTAAGCAAGGTTGTTTTAGGCAACAAGAATGAAGTGGATGTACTCTTGAGTAACGCATCCAAACCACGAAATTCGGATATACGCATCCGACCTGACTGGCCCCTCGAGGACCGCATAAAAAGAAGAGAAGCTGTTGCCGAACTTAAGGCTTGACAAACTAATGGGGAAAATGATCTTAAAGTAGTGGGTTTTCGGGTTATGAGGTTTTCGAAACGAATGATTCCAAGGCCTGTATGGGTGGGTCATGGAACTCTTCCAACACAATGAAATTTATCTACACTAATGTTCGCAGTGTTAGAAGCAAAATGACAGACCTCGAGACTAATCTCCGAACTAGGTCCTGACATAGTAGCCCTTACTGAAACCTGCCTAATAAGGGTTTAGATTTTACGCTACTCCTCACAGGGTATTACTGTGTAAGAACAGATAGGGTTGTGGGTCGCAAAGGTGGCGGCATACTACTCTATGTTACGGAGAACGTCCACGTACGATTAGTCACTTTTGAAGCACATGAATGAGGGACCTGTGAAATGGCCAGTTGCGAGCTGAAGTCAAAGTAAGGTTTCTGTACTATCGGGGTCATTTACCGTACTCCATCCTGCCTTGCAAATGACATCGTACTAACCCATATATATATAACTGGAGTAGAATCAATAGATGTCTAATAGTTGGGGATCTGAATGCTCCACACATAAACTGGACGGAGCTAAAAGTCTCACCACTAGGTGGTTCCTTCGAAAATGACTTACTTTTGACGGTCTTAGAATCTGCTTTAGTTCAAAACGTAACATGTGCAACACATTACGATTTTCAACACAAGCCATCGTTATTAGATTTAGTTTTAACCCAACAATGTGAAGACATTCTGGATCTACGACACCTCCCTCCATTAGCTAACAGCAACCATGTAGTGACAAATTTCGGTTTCTGGACTAATGAGTTTGATTGACAATGCTTCCCTAGACCAAATACATAGTGCACAGACATTTCAAGTATAAGGACTGCGCAGTCAGTAAGGACTGGACCGTCGACCAGGACTCATCAATAGAGAACGCATGGAATAGGTTTAGAACTCGATTTGAAGAGGTAACCACGCCATTTATTCCATGGTCGACTTCACGAAGATCCTCAATCGCCCTCCGTAGTCTAATAAAGACACTTAGAAACTGTTAAGGTGGAGGAAAAGTTTATGCAACTTGTTTATAGAAACTGGACTGGAAACATTTAAGACTGAGTACCGTAAAGTCCGTAATCTCTGCAAGACTTTGATCACACGATCTCGAATGTCCTACGACAAGCAGCTTGTGAGGGATTGCCGAAATTGTCCTAAAAGACTGTTCGCATTCATCAGAAGGACTAAAAGAAAAGGCGGGATTCCCGCTCTGGTGACGGAAAAGGAGTCCGATAGTCTGGTGGAATCTAATCTGTCTAAAGCTGAATGTCCATCGGATTACTTTAGTGAGGTCTACTCTGTAGATCATGACGATGAAGTGCTAAATAGTGGTGTCAGCACTGTTCCACTAACAGATACAGTGTTCACAACAAAGCAAAGAGTCTTACAGTTGCTCATTAACCTCAAACCTGGAAAATCCCAGGTCCCGATGAGTTGCATCCCTGACTTCTATCCTCGCTAGCAGACATCATTGCTGAGCCAGTCACGGATCTCTTCAACGTGTCCCTAACTCAAACTCGCCTTCCTAGAGACTGGAAAGATGACATAATCAGCACAATCTTTAACACCGGCAGTCGCCATTTGGTGTCTATCATCCTGAGTCTAACTAGCATAGTTGTTCACATTTTAGAAAAATCATTCTTGACAGGGTACTTAAACATGTGGAATCAAGCAATCATTTGGCACCACAGTAACATGGTTTTCGTATTCGGCACTCCTGTCTAACTAACCTCCTTATCGAGAGAGAGGAATGAATTACAGCCCGTGATTGCAAGCTGACAATAGATGCCGTGTTTACAGACTTCAGTAAGGCATTCGACAACGTGCAGCATATGAAATTACTGGGTAAGCTCTCCTCCTTCGGGTTCCGTACTTCACTGCAAGCTTGATTAAGGACTTTTTGTAAGTTAGAAGGCAAAGAGTAAGGGTAAGTGGGACACTAGCCGGTGGAAACCTGTGATGAGTGGACCTCCTCAAGGAACAATCCTAGGTCCACTACTTTTCTTGCTATATATCAATGAATTGCCAAAAAGGCTAAACTCTTCAATACTGTTCTTCGCTGATGACGTGAAGATTTGGAGAGCCATACGCAGTGATGCACATAGGTATGCACTTCAGGCGGATTCAGATGAACTAGTGGGTTGGCCCAAACGTTGATGCCTGGAAACCAACTCTAACAAAAGTGCATTAATGCACACTGGTCATAGCAATTGTTTACAGTATTCCGTTGATGGTACACAACTACTTCCAGTCCTTCAAATAAAAGACTTGGGTGTCATCACCAGTCATGATTTGAAAACCTCGGCAAACTGTAATACAGCTGTAGCAAAGGGCTTCCGTGTATTATGGTCCATCCACAGAGCTTTCAAAAGTCTTGATCAGGACATGTTCAGAATACTCTATTCTACCTACTTAGACCTCACTTGAAATACTGCATTCAGGTGACCAGCCCATGCCTAAAAATGGATGCTGACGCACTCAAGCGTCTTCAAAGAGTAGGTACTAAGCTTGTGGCAGACCTTTCGAATCTGTCCCATGAGGAACGACTAGATCAGCTTAACTTACCATAGGAAACGGGGTGACCTCATACTAGCATTTCGTATTCTTAATAATGATTTCGGCACTGATATGTCCTATCTTTTCTCCCCTGCTAGGATTGACTATCTCTGAGGGTATCACAAGAAGATTCAAAAACTGCGATCGAGTCAACTTAGTGTGAATCTGCGTTTCTCCTATCGTGTAGTCAACGACTGGAACTCCTTATCTCAGCAAGCAGTGTCAGCACCTTCTGTCAACGCGTCCAAGGAGAAAGGAGATCTTCACAGAGATATCCTCTGCAAGGATTAACACGAGCCAACTGGCCTACTATCCTTATAACTGAAACTGAATGCTTTAGAATGTAATTCTATATCAGACTCGTTTTATGATATGAAACACAATGATATGGCATAACCGAACTGATGTAATTATGAACAATAATTTATTCTTGAAATGTCATCAAGTAAATAATAATTTACTACTGCGCCATATCGAACAAACAAATCTAATGTTTCTCGTAACATATGGAATTTTTGCTCGTTAGGAGTACGTGATGCTCTGTATAAAGTTTCAGACGTTGATACATATTATCTGTCTGCTTGTTTGAGACTCAGAAAATGTATATACTTTCAGAAAATCATCAAGATTATATTTTATGACTTTCCTTAGTCTCACAAAATAGCCAGCAAGTAAGAGGTCGAACATCATGCACCATTCACAATTTCGAAATCTTACGCATGCGAAAGGAACAACAAAATTTACTTATGGATACCTCATAAATCGTAAATCCTCGGTTGTACAGAAAAACGTGAGAATGTAACAATGCAGTAGACTTTTCCGCCAAAAACATCCAATGTCCAATATCAATATTGTGGGTAGAGGAAAGTTGCAACTTTTAAACTCCCGCTTCTAGATCTTGAGGCTCCGTTCACTTAGTTTGGCTGTGCTTCTTCGGTGATAGCAGAAGTCCTCACTTTTTTCCAGTTTATAGCTTTGGAGACAGTGACTATGAATTTGAGGGCATGTTTTCTGGAAAGCCGTAGCTTGGTTTGTTTATGGGGCAACGAAGCTGCTGATAAAATCGCCCGATTATTTGTAATCCATGCTTATCTAAGCACATGCAATCAAGTTTTAGGCTTTACTTAAAAACTGCTAGAGTTAAGGTGAGTGGGGAATGAGAAAAATATTGATGAGAAGTACCTATGAAAAGATAAGTGTTACTGATAAGAATATGAAGAAGGGATACACGTTATTCCGGAAACTAAGGATAGGAAATAAAGGGTAGATGAGCGTGTCTTCACTTGCTACAGGCGAATGTTCGTGGTAAGCTACCAGCGCTCACATACTTAACCAGTAGTTATTTGAAGGAGTCAACTGGTGTGGCTGTGATTACTTCCTATCAGGGGGCGTTCATAAGTCACACACTGTATGTGAGGAGAAGTTTGATCTCACTCTCGCCTTTGCCCTATTGTGGAGTGTGCGAGTGGGGTTCTGTCGAGACTGTCGATTTTGAGCCGATAATGTTGGCTTGTTGAATTTGCCCACTTGATGAATAATTGTAGGCCTTTATCAGGTCACCACTTTTCCTTCTATAGCTAGCTGGGAACAACTTCACTTGCCTAAGGTGCTGCAAATATGTCTCGCCTATCAGTCCGACAGTCAATCATTTCACTCCTCTCCGTGCTTTCTCCAGAGTATTCGCGTTTCTCTTTAGTAGAGTGGGGGCCATCGTGTTGAATACTTCTAAATGTGGTCTAGCAAAGGTATTAAATACCATGAGGAATAATTCTAGGGTAAGCGCCCCAAGCTGCCTTCTGAGAAAGTGCGTGATCACGTTCGTCCCTGTTCCCATGCCCCCACGGGTGGGACTGGCATCCAGTGTTAGAGAAGTTTAGCCCGAGGTCCCTGGCTATTCAGCGCTTGTTGATGGTGTAGCTGGTTTTCGTCACTTTTGGGTGTGCGAAGAGACATCACAGGTTAAAGCCCAAACCATTCTCGGCTCATCAGGACTCCAGATGTAGTAGACCGTCTTTGAGTATCTTAGGGCCCTCTTTCCCGCATGCCCTCCTCTATATTTTGACTTTGGCAAGTAGGAGGACAGAGGTTGAGATTTTAATGGGAAAGTCACTGATAAATAGCTAAAGCATGGTTGGCCTAGGAATCGCTTCTTGAAAAAATCCTGTTTTTGTACTCCTCCAGGTTGATCAAATTCTGTTTGCCTGAGCACAGAATTCTCCCCTCTCTATGTGTGCTGTAAGCCACGCTGAGTGGTTCGGTGATACCCATTTTCACAGGTTTAGTGGTAATGGTGTAGTGTGGTGCGCTATCGAAACCTATTGGTCCAGCTATTCCAAGCGGTCATCAAGTTTTTGCGGCACATAGCCGTTTGGTTCTGAAGCCACGTTTGGTGGGATGAACGATGCTGTTTCTGCTCAGGTAGACTCAACCAACAGCCGCAACCATGCTTTCCAAAGAATTGGGTAGTATGAGGAGCAATGTTGTTGGTCTGCAATTGCACAGGTTTCTTCGCAATCCTTCGCTGAAGAGTGGCGAAAGGATAGCACGTCTGGGTTCTTTGGGGAGGTGACTTACTTCCGACGGGTGAGGTAAAAAGGTTGCATGTGGGTATGCTTAGTACTTTGGCGCAATTCCGTAGGACCACCTGTCTTATGTAGTCACAACCTGGAGATTTCCCCATTCTCAGTGTTGAAAGTTTCACAGACACTTGTTTGATAAAATCTTTGCGTTCATCAGCTTTGTGCCACAGTCCTGTAGCCTCGGTGCACTACTAGTTGTTGGTGTGGATGCATCACAGTGTTCAGTTTCCTGCCAAGTCAGCTGCTCAGCAGTGCCTCCATCTCCCTGCCATTCAAAGCTCCCCCAGCCGGCCCCGTGATAAGGTTTAGGCTTTTATTCGTCGGTTTTCGTTGCGATATAAGGCGATATAGGCTTTTTGGATTATGACTTAGCCATTTGGCTAGGCTACTCTGGTGTGTGTACTTGCCATCACGGGCGGGTATTACAGAGGTGGTGTATCTTCTTGTGGCCAAGAAAGTCTGACTCCCTGTGTGATGAGCTCTACCGATACATAGTCTTCTTTTTCCCCTGTACTCGCCTTACGCTTGCGCGAGTTGTCAAAGACCGTTTAAGAGATGGTTGTCTGCTTAATTTTGAAACACATTTTTCGAGAATTTCTGAAAATTTCCAACCCTCACGTCATGAAATCTAAAAGTGTGAGGTCAATGGATTCCACTTGATCGATACTGTAAATGGGTCTAGAAGATGGGAATTGGTGCTGACAACTACTGAATTAGTTCTCAAATACTTCAATTGTGAACTTTCCTACGAGATTTTAAGCAGCCCTGTTTCCTCACCTTAGGTTTTGGACAGTGGATTACCTCTTCCACAGCTGGGAAACAAAACAAGTCTAGAACACATGAGGGTGGCATCGGCCAAAACTATCCGAGGTATCAGGCTGGAAAAGTGTGAGAAAGGATTGGAACCACTTGTTTTATGCCTGTGTGAATGGCAAAAACCAAAAGACATTTCGATGGTGACGACCCTGTTGGCCCAATTCATTACACATCCAGTCTTGGCCGAAGCAACATTCAAGACGGCACAAGCAGGTTAGTGTTGGCACATAACTCGGCAGATGTCAAGCACATGTTCCAGTGAATAACAGTTATTAAGTCGTAGAATGCTCTGCCTGTGTGTGTTTCAGGCTAACTCAACAAGACCCCTCAAACGCCCATTTTATCCCTACTCACAGTCCAACTATGAGTCAAATCACAACTAAATTTCTCTTCTTGTTTGTCTCTGGTCGTCCTGACCATAGATTAAAAAATAGTGGGGCTCATATCCATCGCTTCTACCCATAGAAGCTAGTTATTGGAAGGCCTCTTATACTCCGTCACCAACCTTCTGCAACAAATTACCAATTCTTCTCCTAGGAGCGAAGTGTACACACATTTCAAATGGGTAGAAACAGTTTACTCATCTAATAAGAGATTCCTGTCAACACGGCCAAGCGCATGACTATGCGCATTGGGAACGGGGCCTACAACACTAACGGTAGTGGTGGGATTCCTCTTCCCTCTTGGTGACCCTGACAAAGTAAGTCATGTTCAAAAAGCTTTAGCATAATGTTGATCAATCCCAACTCCAAGCTAAAAAGAAGTGTAGAGCTTCGGAAAACTTGCCAATCCACTTTTCATTTTCGGTTTCTAGATTGCATTGTATTCTCGCAGTTAAATTATTACCGTTCGCCGACTACCTTTGACCACTGAACATATGTATACTCTCTGCTCTTACTGAGTTTTCAGCTCCCGCTCTCCTCTTCTTTTCTTCACCTAGCATCCCGCAGTCATCTACCAATTTGCTCACGTCTGAACACCTATCAGCGACGTACCTGCGGGTCCGATGAAAGCCTAGTAGTAGCTGGTAGCCACAACAGAACTTCTACTTATGTCGGTAGAGATATGTTCGTCATCTAATACTCAGTCTCAGTTGGATCGAAACTGAGAAAGTGTATACAGATTATAAACTCCTATTTCGGTAGTAACCCAGACCCTCCGCGGGTTCAGAGGATGGCAACCAATGCGGCCCCACAACTTCTAGCTTAACGTATGAGGAAAGACCTCCAAAAGGTGGATGTTTTGTCTTGAATTTATTGTCTATGGAAGGAGGAAAATGTCATCCCACGTAGGATTCCAGGAAATGACTTTGGACCTGATCGGTTAACCTTCTTTCTCCCCACTAACTCAGAACATCTTTGGCAAAACAGTTGAGGAATGAGGATCCTCGGTGTATGGCACTTTTCTCCGTCTATTAGTCAGAAGTTGAAAACAAACGATGAAAGAAAAGGTGACGGTTCTAGCAATTGAGTCGGTCAAGAGTAGGCTGGGCTAGTGCACAGATTCGTGAGGGAGAGATGAACATGGATTCATGTTATGCAATCCTCAGATGCCCAGATCTGAAGTCCGAATTGGTTCCTGCAGACTATCATCACTGTTACTTTATCACGCACTTACTCCTTAAGATAGTTACACTTGGCACTCTCTTCTCCAGGCTTCTTCTGATGGTGTTTGATGAGGTAGACACCATGCAAGGAAGTTTCACATCCTCACCGCCAAGGCGTTCGCACAGAGTTCCTTTGAAACCGGGCATAAAAACCGTGTCACCTTAGATTCAAAGCTGCATTTTGAGGGTGATCCACCAAGGTGAATAGGTTGTCGGTGGCACGGTACACTACAAACACTCACTCCTGATCCATTCGTACTGTTTCAATTGAAGGTGCATCACTGTCCGGTGGGCCTTCTCTGGGCTTTTCATAAAGAAACGACACTCTCAATCCACGATACCAAAGCTTGAATGGATTTCCAGACGTCATCTAATGGGCACTGGGTGGGCCTTATGAGAAAACTTTGCTGGTAGTTATTCGCAGGTTTCTTTAGAAGCCACAGGACACTACAGATTTCATCTGTAATTTCATAATTTGGAGAAATCTTACGAGTTTTTTTAAATTTTCTGTGAGTAGCAAAACGGGGCACAGGAGCTGCCACTTAAAGCAACAGTTTTTCCCATCGATGTTAATCATCAGCATTATTTTGCGCTGACTAAAGTCGAGCAGGGGTGTACTCTCTAAAATCCACCGAATATCTTGTTCAGGTCTTTCTGGAAAAGAATGGGACTTACGAAAAAACGGCATTCCTTGGAGCCTTCAGGTCATCAGCTTAAAGCTACATGTAAAACTTATTGAAGCTGAAAGGCAGGTAATTAAGATTTCATATAACTAAGGAAAGAACGATAAACGCTTTAACAACCCCTCGGATATCGTAGGAGCATATAAAAATGGTTAACC